ATCTCCCGAGTCCCAAAAAAAAAAAAAAAAAAAAAAAAGTCTTCTTCTTCTTCTTGCACGATTTAATGGCTGTTGACAAGCCAACTTATGGTGTATTACCGCCACCAATTGGACTGGAGTGTGAAGCATTAACGGGAAAGGGGAAAAGGGAGAAAAAAAGGGTAGTATTAATATGAAATTTAAATTCTACTTTCTAATCCTGTTATCTGCAGATAACTAAGAATTTCTCTCATAATACTTGTCTGTCCTGAGGCACAACTTAAAATATTTGATATAGTGAAATTAAATACTCCTATGTTTCTCAGTTTCTTAAAGGGATAGTTCACCCAAAAATGAAAATTCTGTCATTAATTACTCACCCTCATGTCATTTCAAACCCGTAAGACCTTCGTTCATCTTCGGAACACAAATTAGGCTCAGAAACGTAGCAAGAACATCGTTAAAATAATCCATGTGACATCAGTGGTTCAACCGTAATTTTACGAAGCTATGAGAATACTTTTTGTGTGCGCAAAAAAAAAAGACTTTATTCAGCAATTCGTCTCCTCCAAGTCACCCTGTAGCGCCATTTTGGAGAGTATCAGCTGGACTAAACAGCGTATGCTGTTCTGTGTCAGCTGCGTCACGCCGGATCTGTTTCCTACGTTGTTGTGATTTGATCTGAACGAAAACAGCGTATCCGTGTGACGCAGCTGACACAGAAAAGGTTTACGTCCAGCTGATACTCTCCAAAATGGCGCTTCAGGGTGACGTGGAGGAGATGAATTGTTGAATAAAATCTTTTTTTTTTTTTCTTTTGCGCTCAAAAAGTATTCTCGTAGCTTCGTAAAATTACGGTTGAACCCCTGATGTCACATGGATTATAAAGATCTCCTTGCTACGTTTCTGGACTTTGGAACATTTCAGTTGTATTGCTGATAGGGTCAAACAGCTCTCAGATTCCATCAAAAATATCTTAATTTGTGTTCCGAAGATGAACAAAGGTCTTACAGGTTTGAAACGACATGAGGGTGAGTAATTAATGACAGAATTTTCATTTTTGGGTGAACTAACCCTTTAAATAACTCCTCTCTTTGGTATATACTGCACAATGTAGAAGTAGCCTACATGCTCAATAGTCTCTGCTTCACTGCATGAAGTACATAATCCTGACTGATGTTTCCCTGTTGTAAATAATGAATGATTTAAACCAGAATGTCCTATTCGAAGTCGAGTAATAATTATGTCTTCTTTTCTATTGTTAAAGCATATTCTCCCTTTGCCAACTTGTTTTTGGATATTGTATAGGTGTCTGCCCTTTAAATCCTTGTCACACATTTATACTGCACAATGTAGAAGTACATGCTCAATAGTCTCTGCTTCACTGCATGTAGTACACAATCCTGACTGATGTTTCCCTATTGTGAATAATGAATGATTTAAACCAGAATGTCCTATTCGAAGTCGAGTAATTATTATGTCTTCTTTTCTATTGTTAAAGCATACTCTCCCTTTGCCAACTTGTTTTTGGATATTGTATAGGTGTCTGCCCTTTAAATCCTTGTCCCACATTTCCTGCCACTTTTTATTCATGTGTTAAATCTTCCTTTTATTTCTACCTTACTCAGTGGAATTTGTACCTCAACATTCACGTTTCATTGCTTGTTTGGCCAGTTTATCAACTATTTCATTTCCTTCTACTCCTACATGTGCAGGTACCCATAGGAACCTCAGGACTATACCAATTTCCTGAATCCTAAGCAGATTTATAAGTACTTCATAGATTAAATCCTTTCTTGATGTTGATTGTTCACTTATTAAACTATTTTAAAGCTGACAAGGAATCAGAACACATTCAAAACATTATTACTCTGAAATTTTGAATGTAAATGTTAAGTGTAAGTGAAATGTTAAGTACTGTAAGGTCTTTCATGACACTACATATTCTGGGGTGTGAATTTGATAGGTGCTTGATATAAAATAAATGGTGCTTTAAAAAGTCCTTGAAAGTCCTTGAATCTGGTGTTCTTGAAAGAGTGGGAACCCTGTAAATACCGGTAGATTAAACCAAGAATCCACCATGTATTGCATGGTTCTTCATAAAGTGCTCAATTGCTATTTAAAAAAAAACAACAAAAAAAAACAGCATGCATGCTTACATGTTTGTGCTCCATGCTGATTATCATAAGCATATGATTTTGTTGCATTAAATCTGTTGCAATCAACAATAAGAATTGAAGGTAAGCAAGAGGCTGCGTGCTTTCATCAGACGGTCCTGGCGGCTGAGTAAGCTCTCGCTTTTGGCCAATGTCAAAGTCTTCTTTGAGCAGATTGTCTACATCTTTATTTTGCAGCAACTGCAACATGTTCCTTTGAAGCTCTAAAGCTGCTTCCTGGAGCAGCAGATAGCGGATCACCATTGGGATCTGGTCAGCTAGACGCTTGCTTGCAATCTAATGAGGTAGATAAGACAAAATCTAAAGATAGACATAACAATTTGAGCTACATGTGGGGTGTATTCCAGAAAGCACGGTTAACTTACCGTCAGCTAAACCCTGAACTTTTGGTTGATTAACCCCAAACCTTGTTTACTCGAGGTATGTGGTTCCAAAAACGCAACCGGGAGTAAGTTCATTCAACTCCGAGTATGTTCCTGGTTAAGACTGAATGAGGTGACAGGGTAGCCTATCATGATGTAGGCTACCAAGTGCTAAATGTTACCATATTCATATTACATGGTAATTCAAAGAAAACCACAGTGTTCCCATGGTGTTATGTCCAAAATCGTGATGATAACATGCTTTTGGCTACAGCTACATTTACTAATGTAGTCAATTAATGTTAGGAGCAAATGGAAGCTTATTGTAAAGTGTTACCATTATTAATGATAAAAGTCACTTGAAATATTGAGGTTTCTTTGGGAGCCACCTGTATTTCATAAGAAAACAGGCAGTAAAAACCATTACCATATATTTTGGCTTTTAGATGGGACCTTATTGCACATGAGACTCAAATTTTCTATATTAATGTCCAGCTGTATTAATTTATAATGATAGTAATGTGTTGCTATACATTTCCTTACACAACTTACCATCATAAGCAGTTTCAGACAGGCTGTTTTCAGTATGGGTGAATCTTACCTCCAACTAAGCAAATTCTTTTTAAAGATACACATGCATCAGCATTTTTATGTTTATTTTTGGACTTTTACGACTGATTGGGATCGGCAAATGATGAAAGCAGAATTCAAACTTGCATCACCCATATCGGTGTTTCTTTTCTAATATTTTAACAGATATATTTGTGTTTCATGTTACGACCAAATTCATTAGCATACAAAGGAAAAACTCGGTGTACTTTTGGAAAAAAAAGTTTATTGTGAAATGACTGTGTGAAAATTGGGATGGGGAAAAATTGGCAGCCTGGCCACAGCAATGACATGTGCCTTTAACACACAGCTAGCGGTGCTGTTGTAACCCTGGATGGGTGGAGAAAGAAGAAACCAACCCTCACTTCATGAGTGGCCTTTTCCTTCTTCCCCGATCTCCATCCTACTGTGGATGGCCGCCCCGGACGGAACAAGAAGGCAAGGAGGGTCAACTCATGAGTGGACGAAGTAACTTCCAAAAAGGTGGGCAAGAGGGGAGAAAACAAATAAAGAAAAATAACAGAATGGTTTAGAAGTGACATCCCATAGTCCTTTTTATTGATTGGTCTTCAAAACAGAATGGATGTCCTGACACCATGGGGTCTGCAGATATAGTTCAGCCTTCTTCACCACTCTCTCAACGGACGGCCTCTTACACGGACAGGATGTGCTTGACGAAAGCTGTAAGAGGAGAAGCAGACATGCATAAGGAATGATCGTCCCTACTGGCTCGCCATACAAGGCCTGAGGTGGCTGCTAAAAATAACGGTCGTAATGATTCAGTGACAGGTGAGCTTATTATATCATTTTAGTTAGTGCAGAAAAGACTCAGTGCAGTCACTGGTATGCAATGTGTCCTAAAACAAGTTAGAAGGGTTGAATTGGAAGGGCTTATCCAAACACGTACCCTCATAGTGGACACTGCCGTTCTCATCCTCCTGTCCCTGCATGAGAGATTCAATCTCGGGCTCAGACATCTTCTCACCTGTCAGTGCCATGAAAGGTATTGGTTAGGAATAAATCTTTCCTATACTTTTTTCTTAATACAAAATACCGTAGTATTATTATGCTCTTTTGGACATGTACCATGGTAATACCAGATTACCTATCTATATAAATATGGTAATAATTCAGAACTCCTAATCAAATTAATATATTAATTATTCATCATCTTATTATTTATTTATTATAATAAAATATTAAATATTACACAATTATGTGTTTTATAAATTATAAATATATTTTAGCCATGTATCATCCTATTTTTGTAATACTTAGACATTTAAATACCATGGCACATGAATTTCATTTTGGGACTGCATCAAGGTTTCCAAAAGTATTAGGAACCAAAAATGTTTTCAACAGTGATAATAATACGAAATCAGGATACTAGAATGATTTCTGAAGGATCATGTGACACTGAAGACTGGAGCAATGGCTGCTGAAAATTCAGCTTTGCATCACAGGAATAAAATACATTTTAAAATGTATGAAAATAGAAAACTGTTATTTTGAATGTAATAATATTTCCATTTTTTACTGTATTTTGCCTTGGTGAGCATTAGAGACTCCTTTCAAAATCAACATTACCAACCACAAACCTTTTAATGGTAATTCAAACACCATGATATTACTAACTGATCACTGTGCTAAGATACATTAATTTGTTTTGTAATTATATTATGTAACATTATATTATATATTATGCAACAGCATATTATGCAATTTGCCTTCCCATGCATGGTGTGAACCGCATAATCATTTCATCTTCACTTACCCAGTGTTGAGAGCACAATGCGCAGCTCAGCGCCCATCACTGTGCCGTTGCCCTCTTTGTCGAAGACGCGCAGACCCTCAACGTAGTCATCATAGGTACCCTTCTGGAAGCCGTCAACAAGCTTCAGCATTGGCAGGAAAGCATCAAAGTCCAGTCTTTTGTTGGCCATATCTGTGTGCATATAGTTCCACACATACATCACAAATCAGTGAGGGTTTGCAAAGCATTTCGAATGATGTCCGTTCGTTTTTAATATAAAGTCTTATACCGTCAGCGGATGGGTCACCCAGGATTTTCTTCACGTCCTTGTTGGTGGGGTTCTGTCCCAGGGCACGCATGATGTCAGCAACCTGGTTGAAGGCAACCTTGTTGTCACCAACTCTGTCGAAGAGACCAAAGGACTCTTTGAAGTCTGTAACAGAAGGACAACAGAAGGTTATCTGGAAGTAGATAGACACTTTAAGGGTGGATCATAATCTCATAATTTAGACTAATGTACATAATACATAATTTGGACTAATGTCATAGTATTTCAATTTATCTCACAACATGGCACCAGACAAAACATAACGTTTGCTAGTAAGTTGCATTTGGAAATTCACATTTTGTAAAATAAATGTATTTATTTATTTACTTAATTACCTACTTACAACAGTTTAGGAACATTATTGCTTTAAAATCAGGTAAGGTCAAGGACACTTTTTTTTCTTTGCAGTGCCTCCTCTCCCAGTTCCCTCCTTTGCCAATTGTACTTGCAGCAGAGGAGGAAGGAAGGAAGGCAAATTAAAAAAGAGCTTAGCAACTGCATTTCCATGGGCCGTGAGGGACACCAAGTTGAAAGTGATCTGCTGACAGAAGATCTTCTGACAGAAGAAGTGATCTTCTGTGCTACAGCAGCTGTGCATGATGGTGGTGCTTAATGCGTGACGTGACAGGCGATACCCTCAGAGAAAGTAGCCCTTGCCATACATGGTTACACGCTCTACGACTGACCCAAGTCAAATACAAGAATGCTGACAGCAAAGTAACCTACACCTACAACCAACTGCATACTTTCTGCACCTAAATGAGCAACACTGTGCTGTGAACTGCCCCAGAGGTTTGGTACCCATGACTTGTTTCTGTAGAGAAGTGAATGTGGGCTTTGGATCAGAAATATTTTGACTACCACATCAGAACATGCTACCATTCTACATACACTAAACCAGCTGATTTTACTCAATTTATCAGTTAGCTAAAACAAATATGCATTAAAATTCATCCTGCTTTACGGTTTGCCAGGTTTCAAATGTTCCAAATTAACATTAATCAGCTTACATTAATTTAATTTGCATACTCAGCACTGGAGAGAAAAAAAAGATGCAATATAATTGAATTTTAATAAATTATCCAAAAATCTATTAACAAAAAATATTATAATTAATAATTAAATAATAATAATAATAATACAAAAAAGTATTTCATCATTTGTAATATTTTGGTTACTATTAGAGATATTCACCAATATTAATTATTTTTTAATCTATTGTTCATCTATTATTAAACATGTCCTTATATATTTCAGTTATTATTTTGTACATAATTATTTACTGTGGAAGAGGAAGAATTCTTTACTGCACTCAAAAATTTATTTTTAAAGTTTTTTTGATTCAACGAGATTCAACTTGATTTTTAAAAAAGTCAGTTTAATATAATATAAGTTGTATACTTAAAAAAAGGCAGCAACTAAAATAGCTGGAAATAGTTTTTTTTCCTTCTTTTTTTACAGAGGAAGAATTGTCTTTCCTGAATTCACGACATTATACATTTCCAACATATCCATTACATTTGTAACAGAGTACTATAGTCATAAAAACATTTTTCCAATCGTAATAAACTCTAATGTGTGAAGACTCACCTTCAATCTGGTCAGCACTGAATTCTCCAGCCTGCCAGAAAGACAACAATGGATCAATTCCATTGGCACACCTGCCAACATCTCACAACTCACACTAGTCTGAAACAAGGAATTATTTTAAAAGACATTTGGAAATATAAGCCCTCTTTGGACATAACAAAATAACTGCTTCAAAAGTGCACATATATCCAGCAAGGGAATAAACCAGCTGCATGATTTTCTGTTTAACAGTGACAAACAGATTTAGGTTCTTTATATGATACCGTTGTGGCTCGCCCCAAAGTGAATTTGAAAATCGAAGAAAGGTGTCCTACTTCATTTCAGTGGGCTTATTGCCAGTTTTTGAGGCAGATGAACATGAAAAAGGTATAATAAAATAGCAAGAGTAATCCAAGTACACACCATGATGGAGTTTTGGGGTGCAGGAGCGAAGGAGCAGAAGTCAAGAAGCCGGAGTCCCAGGAGAGTGGTCCTGAGCCATGGACCAGTTCCTTCTTATTTATGCTATGCTAATGATGTCACGGGGCGGATCTTGTGACACCGTGGAACTTCTTCAACTTTCTTAGGTCAAGTTGGAAGGAAGACTGCTGCTTTCTCCAATGTACATGTGCGGCAGTATTTTTAGATTATGCTCCAGGCTGATTGTAGGACCCCTTGGCTTTGGTCAGCACTTTAATTTGATGTATTGTGTCTTTACATGGCTTCTGCATTTTAATCCCTAGCCAGGGATGTTTGAATCTAAATTCTGATCTCACCTGTTATGTACAAACATTGAAATCAACACAACATCACAGGAAGGCTTTTGATTACAGTGCTGATATTTTTAACTTGCATATGGTGGTCTTGGCCACTTATGGTTATATGGGAAGCCGGGGAAAAAAACTCTCCTTAAAGCCTGTTTCCACAGCATGAAAACACTTGCATTTTGGCCACATTTCTCTCTCAAAATATATGAAATCATGCATATTAAAAATAGTGTTTTTATTCAAATAAGGGTTAGTAAAATACCATTGCTTTTTTTTGTAGAATAAAATTAATTTATGTGATTATGAATAATGCGAACAGTGTTTTGATAGATTATGTGATGCAATGACAGATTTGGGTGTTGTTACAACACTTAAAAGTGAAACCAACATTCATAGTAAACCATGGTTATGTTCAGAATGCTGTTGCTAACTGCATTGTGCACCCTATAGGCCTACACTATATGCATACTATTCTTTAAAAACAGTATGTGAAATAAAAAAACAGTAAACCTGGACACTTTGTGAACTTCAGGCAAATTGACTTCATACATCCACTAAACTACCTTTTTAAAAAAAGTTTAACACACTTTTATTAAAGTCATTGCAAAAATGGCTCAGAAAAGTGAAGTTAGTTCTGAGAAAAACTTGTGCATCCTTTGTCTGCAAATGCCTAATTTGGTGTTCGCTGTCAAAATGACTACCCTTTTAAAAATTGTTTGCGAATCGATGTTATCACCAAATCTTGGATTCAATCTTTTTATCAGCTTGTTGTCTTTCAATTAGCACAGGTTTTGCAATTATTATTATTTTATTTTGGAACTAATTGAGGTACATAAACTCCGATTAATGAGGGCTATGAACAATCAGTTCCAAAAAGAAATATGAGACCTGCTAATTCAACAAGAACAAGTTTGACAACAAGAAAACAAGTAAAAAGATTGAATTCAAGGTTTATTAATAATATCGCATAATGAGAGATTTTCAAGCAATTTTTAAAAGGCCAGTCATTTTTGACTGGGAACACTACAAATGTATCAACATGGGAAAAAAACAACAACAGTACAAAATGATCAGGCTAATGCGATAACATTAACTAGCATTTTCAGGAAAAAGAAAATCCTCTCCAGGTCAAAGTGACCAGAACACAACATGAGGTTTAAATATCACGTTACAAATGTGAGGTCTGCTGTTTACTATATGAAAATGTCATTGTGAAACACCTAGGACAAACATTAGAAACATTAGTGCAATTAGCAGATAATTTGTTACAGTGTTGCTCTGCGTTTCTCATTAGAGTAATGCTGTCAGTGCTTTTTTAGCAAAGGTTTACTTGTAGCAGCACAGTGCATGCTGTGACAAGCTCCTTAACATTTTGGCTAATCCTCATCTGCATTTCATCTCCTTCTGCTTTCATGTAATATGAGTTTATGCTGTGAAGCCACATTACACAGAATAGAGAATATTGGGAGGTTAAAGACTATAGTATGTGCATGAGATCCTCACAAATCTATCATAAGGCATGTTGTTGTGCACCATTTGGACAGGACTACTTTTGTGGTACTTTTTTTTGAGCTGAATAGCAGCCTGGACATTCTGCTGAATAAATCATTATCCACATTATTTTAAGTAACATGAGGGGTAAAACTTTTTTTTTGGCAAAGTACCCATTTAAAATCCTACACATTATCTAAACGATTAATTATTAAAGGGGTCATATAATGTTGCTAAAAAGAACATTATTTTGTGTATTTGGTGTAATGAAATGTGTTTATGCGGTTTAAAGTAAAAAAAAAAACATTATTTTCCACATACTGTACATTATTGTTTCTCCTCTATGCCCCGCCTTTCTGAAATGCATCGATTTTTACAAAGCTCATCGGTCTGAAAAGCGAGGTGTGCACTGATAGGCCAGCTATCCAGTGCTTTTTGATTTGCCGAATACCTCAAGCGTGTGACGGAAATGTTACGCCCCTTACCATACTGTGATGCGGGCGGGCTTGAGAACGGCACGGCCGGCGGATTCGATGAAGGTGCAGCCAGTGGGCTTGCGGCAACCACACGTGATGACCCCGGGCTGGACTCCGACCAGCACGGATCAACTCCAGGCATGACTAAGCAGATATCGTCCTCTTTTGGAAGGCCAAACAAAGTAGTTTCGCTTTCACAACGAAACACACAGCGCCTTCACGTCATGGCGGCGGCGGCAACAACAATACTACAGCGAGAATAAATGTTATGCCTTCTTTCTTTGCGTGAACATTTGGGCGGCATTATGCAAATCTTCCCACATTGTGAAGTAGACATGTGGGGGTGTTAGAACGAGTCGTTTTAGGTAGGTGTGGTTGACTCTTAACTTTTATAAAGAATATCTCTTTGGATTTGAGACTTTAGTCTTTGCAACTTTACAGATCTTCTTTATGCACCAAGAGCTTGTAACACTCCAAAGAGAAAGGAAAAATTGAAATCGCATCATATGACCCCTTTAAATAATCAAGCAAATCAGATAAAGTCCTGCATTTTGTTTATGACAGTTTTATTGCCAATTGATGAGACTGCCTTTGTTTTCCCCATAGTTTAATCAGCAGTGTCAATTTTACTTTTTTTTTTTTTTTTTAAACACTACTTTGAAAATAAAAGGGAAAAATAACTATAACCTATCTGTGGCAGTACAGCAGGGTGTTTTACCATAGACAGACCAACACTTTTTTTTAAGAATATAATGTTCAGATAAATGTTTGAAAATATACCTGCAAGCAAAATAAAATGACACATTCCCTGTATAAATAAAGATTATTTTAAACGATTTTGCAAAGTATGCATCAAAACAATGTGATGGTAAAGCTGAATTTTCAGCATTATTACTCCAGTCTTCAGTGTCACATGATCCTTCAGAAATCAGTCTAATATGCTGATTTACTGCTCAAGAATATAATCACAGCTGAAAACAGTTGTACTGCTTAATATTTTTTGTGGAAACATTATATATTTTTTTCAGTATTATTTGATGAGACTGCCTTTGTTTTCCCCATAGTTTAATCAGCAGTGTCAATTTTACTTTTTTTTTTTTTTTTAAACACTACTTTGAAAATAAAAGGGTAAAATAACTATAACCTATCTGTGGCAGTACAGCAGGGTGTTTTACCATAGACAGACCAACACTTTTTTTTAAGAATATAATGTTCAGATAAATGTTTGAAAATATACCTGCAAGCAAAATAAAATGACACATTCCCTGTATAAATAAAGATTATTTTAAACGATTTTGCAAAGTATGCATCAAAACAATGTGATGGTAAAGCTGAATTTTCAGCATTATTACTCCAGTCTTCAGTGTCACATGATCCTTCAGAAATCAGTCTAATATGCTGATTTACTGCTCAAGAATATAATCACAGCTGAAAACAGTTGTACTGCTTAATATTTTTTGTGGAAACATTATATATTTTTTTCAGTATTCTTTGATGAATGGAATGTTAAAAAAGAACAACTGCATTTATTTGAAATACTTTGTAACAACATTAAAGTGTTTACTGTCACGTTTGATCAATTGGAATGTGTCCTTGCTGAATAAAAGTATGAATTTATTTCCAAAAAAAAAACTTAAAACTCTTAAAAACTTTTAAACAAAAATCACTACAGTTTTTGCAGTCTGGACTGTATCATAATATTTCAGTATTTATTTATTTTTTTGTATTGACATGCTGTGTGTGACTGTCCTTCTGCCAGTTAGATGTGTTACTACAAACTAGCAGTGCAGCCAAAGCAGAGACATTCCATTCCTGCCCTGAAATATTGACCCTTCCCTCTGAATGCTGCAGAAGTCATGGAGCTGAAGACCTCGCCCTTAGGCAGATGAGCTCTATATTTAGCCGTTCTTTTAGGAGGTGTATAGTTTCTTTGAGCGGGTTGGTAGCACCTCAAGGGTGGTTGACACGTCTTAGCTGAGCGAGCAGACTCCAGATCGTAAAGCAGCTGCTCAGGTTACGCTGCTCTGTTCTGACATAGGATCAGTTCCTCAGATGTCTGGGACTGCTGGTGCAATTACACAATAATACAGCGAGACTGACCTCAGATCAGCTGGAAGCAACACTGAGGAGTCCAGCGTTTAAAAAAAGCCGTCTAGCCCTTGAGAAAGTATCAGCCTTATTTGGATATGTCAGACGGTTTCAAGTGAGGGTAAATGATTCGTTAACTCTCTCATCTTTTTATGTGAAATATACAGTGGGCTCCAAAAGATCAAGAGCACTGGTGAAAGTGCTTCTAATTTGCATGTTTAAATTTTATGCAAAATTGTCATAAAAAATTAAATTATCAGCAGTTTTAGTAAAAATTGAATTATCCTCTTTTTGCCCTAATAAAGTTGAGTTGCATGAGCAAAAGCTGACGATTATGTTCTCTAGCACAAGCAAGAAAATACCAAACAAATGTTTGACGGTTTAAGACTTGTGGGGAAAAGTGGTAAAGCAGCCGTTTAATCAGTTCAAACAAACAATGAGATATTGTACTGGTATAGCCACAGGAAGGCGGAAACTACTTCCTTCCGCCGCGGATTCAAAGCTCAAGATGACAGTTAAACATACATCACTTTTAGAATTCGTATCAATGGCATGTGCTGCTTCAAAAAGGGGCGTAGAAATACTTTATTTGAATGTTTAAGATATCATTTTTAATATATATATATATATATATATATAAATGTCATTTATACCGGTGTTGGCAAAGGTACATTTTCGGCAGACATAACTCGTCTTCAGTG